GCATTGCAGTTTTTCTTTGTTATTATTCAACCAAATAATATGCTCTGCCAGTGTGTTCCACCAGCTATCTACAATCTGCACTAAAATGTCACCTTTAACCTTTTGTAAATTTTTTGCCTTTTAGTTTGAAGGAGTCTTCATGTGTGCATGTGCATGGTTTTAGCTTTAGCTAAAAGTCTTCGTGCTTTAGCCCCTGAAGAAAGGCATCCGATGTGTATGTCCTCTACCTCTCTGTAGCTTGCTTTAGAGATCTGTTATTTTCTTGTTACTCCGTCACTTTCCAGGCTAGTGCTGACCTCTTCAGCTTTTCGTGTCCAGGAGGCCTTACCCTTCCTGCTTGCTCTTGATTACTTTCATTGTCTGCATTCGAATCTTTATTAATTTATAATGGGCCTTTTTTGAGACCTGTAGCAAAATCAAATATTAAGTTTGAGCATAACATGATTAGGAATGAAACAACACTGTAACATATTCTGGTGTATTCATTGTTCCCTGGTTGATGATGCCTCTAGCTTTATTAGTTTTCCTAATTGCTGTTTCATATCAGGCTGCTCTCAATGGCAGCCCCAGTAGAGGACATCGCTGTGTAAAGAGGTACTGATGGGAGTTCGGGCGCTTAGGTGCAAGTGTGTAACTGTTTCATTACTGCCTAGCTTAAGGTTTATATAAACTCTCCGGTCACTCCTAGTTCTGCATCTCTTCCTTTCTGGAAGTACGTGTGTCTTCTTACAGCTGAGCAGCGGCTGCGACCAGCATCTCCCTCTGAGCGGGATGCCTCTAGAGCTCACAAACTCGTTAAAGTTTGTGAAAATCGGAGGTCCATCACCGAAGACGAACAGTGGAGCCTGGGCTGAAACCCTTCACTCCTTGAGGCTCAACCCTCATCCACTGAGAAATGCCAAGACATTTGATGTGAATATTGCACTGAACTCGAGGGGAATTTTTAACAGGTATACCTTTATATATACTTTAAAGCAATGGGGTCTACTCTGAACCTTGTGACTCAACGGGAGGGTCCTCCTTATCCTCTGCATCCATGACTTCTCTGTGAATCACCCTAACTCATGTGTAACTTGATTTTCCTTTGTGTGCTTCTTCCATGTAGTAATAGAGTGAACCTTGCCAGCTTTGACTCTTTAACTAAGTTGCTCTTTTGATTAATTTTGTCTAATCACTTTGTTAATTCACTGATGATTGGGTGCTATTAAAATATCAGTCAAATCCTGTGATTTGCCACAAGTCAACTCTAAACTGCTCCTAAATCCAACTGTGTAAAGCCACTCATTCACGACAAATTAATATAGTCGGCAGGATTCACAGATTCATTCACGACAGGAGTGCAGGTTCAGTTCGCTTCTCTGCCTGAAAGCTTTAGAGCAAAATCTGCTGCCTGGCTGGGCGTGCGGTTACGGAGGCGGCATTGGTGGGAACGCTTTCCAGCACCCCTGTTGTGGGGCAGCAGCGCCGCTGCAGAGGGGAGTGGAAGGGGCAGTGGTTTGGGCTGCAGATCCCAGGTGGGTGCTGGCACCCTGCTGCAGCCCTGAGCTGAGAGGCGCAAGGCGTGCACCTGGGCTCCCGTAAGACACCTCGGCTCATTCCCTCCCACTGACCATCTCTAGGTTGCTCCCCTAAAGGAATCCAGCGAGCAGCTCACTCGCTGCTGGCACTCATGGGTCCTCTGAGGTGGCTGGCAGTCCCACCGCTCCATTTGGGGTGTCTGTGTACCTCCTGCTGTGTTCTGAATGCCCTGGTGCTTTTTGCTGCTAGTCCTGACACCTTGTAGGTCTGGGAAAGGAGCAGCACTGCCTGGGAGTCTTTCATAAGCCGTTATAATGCATTCAGAGTTTTTTGGTGGCTTGGGGGAAGTACGGTTCTTTCCTCACTGTGTTCCTCATTTTGGCTTGTCAATGGATTTAGTCTCTTAGCCACAGAAAAGGCTACAAAGGAGACAAACTTTTTCAAGGGGTGGCTTTGTGATCAGCACATGGTCAGAGTCGACAGACACAATGTTTATTCCCTTTTCTGTGCTGCATACGAATTTTTAAAGAACTTTCTAGTTTTCCTTCTTTAGTGAATTGTCTTTCTAATTCAGGTCCCTGTCTGTACATCTGATGGCCTGTCTGTATACATGACACAACTGCCCTGAGCAATGGGAAGTGCTGTGGAAATGGCAGAGAGGTATTTACAAGCTGAGCTAGCGTGGACACAAGATTCAGCACTGAAGGCTGCCGGCTTACTCTTTGGTACTGCTTTCAAGTTGCTAAATAGATACTTGGGCATCTGGCGGCATGGGCCAGAAATCCTTCTTAGAGGACAGCATTAAAGTCAGGGGGGTCCCCACCTGGAGTGACTTTCTGTTTGTGGGGCAGGTCCCAAGCGCGCTTACGGCTGTGCTGTCCAAATACACTTAGCAGCAATGGACTTCGATGGGACTGTGTTTTCCCTTAACTATTAAATATATCTCATTTCTCATCTCCGTATGTGAGATGTATTTAGTACAAGAATAAAACAGAAGTACTGGAAGGACTCTGTGAACACACGAGACTTGGGATGTCATCTTGTGGTTGTTCAAAGAAATGCAGGAGCAGCTTGTAGGTGTTGCTGAGTTTGCTGCCTCTTTATTTTACATTGAGCTGGTTTAGGTGCAAATTTTTCTTCCTGAGCCACATCGATGAGTCTTTTGTGTACAATCTGCCTAGTGGTAAAGCACACGGCAGTGGCTGTTCCCTCTTTACAGCCCATTCCAGTAGTCGGGGTTTGGGGTGGCCACAGCAAGCAGCCAACAGGAAGTCATGTGCTGCTTGGATACCTGAATGTACCAAAGAGTGCAGCTGCTCTTGTTTGAACCTACATGATGTCAGCGACTGAGGGCCTCTGATGTGCCACTGGCAAGTGACATACTGCTTTTAGTTAGCCATTTTTTTGTTAAAAGCACTTTCTGTTTAGCTTTAGCCTTCTCCTGGCTGTTTCAGCTGGCTAGCACCTCATGTTTGAATGGCACGCAGGTGCAGAGAAGGGAGCCTCATCAAACACCTACTTTTCCCAGAACAGAGAAGTCATTTTAGACCCAGATAATCTGGGGACTCAGCACAGGTGAACTGGCCCAGTCAGCTCACAGGCCAAAGTATTTGTCAGCTTATCAGTTTAGGCAAAGCAAACTCTTAGGAGGAGGAATTCCTGGGGTTAAGTAATTTCCTGCTGTAAGGAAGAGCTGTATCAGGCACATCTACATTCTGCCCTTTTTTCTGTGGTCTTAAAGGATGTTTGCCTCAGTTGCCGGCAACTGGAGCAGCACAGAGCCATCCTGGCCAAAACCAACATCCATGGTAGCCAGCACAGAACAAGAGTGGCAGACAATTCCCGCATTTTTTCCTACACAGGACTAAACCTTTGCTAACTGTTTGAGCTAGACTAAAAGCTGCTGTATGTTGGAGCTGTGCACAGCAGCTACACCAGGGATTACAGATCTGACTAGCATGTAAATATTAATGATCACCTTTTCTTTCTTGTGAATAAGTGTTTTCTTTTGGTTGTTACTGGGGCAGGCGGGGAGGTAGAATGGCTTCTCAGACTTTTCAGTTATGTTTTTAATGACATTGCCTAATAGTAGCGAAACTGTCAAGCCTTTGCATGCTTGGACAAAAAGGCAGCTGGAAGAGGGCAAACTGAACTCAGGAGAGCAGTACGTGCCGCTCTTCAAATGCTAGGTGAACAGGCTTGCTCAGATCTCGACTCCATTTCATACTTGTTTTCTGGGGAATGCTCTTTCAAGTTAAATGCTTTCTAATTACAACCCTTACAAGCAACACACCTCCTTGTCTTATTAAAAGTAAGGCTGCTGTGATTTTTACCGTCTGTCAGATTTATGGCATTGATTGAGACAGATTTTAATAGTGGATGATCAAGCATTAGCTCATGCAAATTGCCAGTGATTTCTGGCGTGCTGTTTTGTCACTAGTGAAGGGACAATCCATCTGCATGGTGATTTAGTTCCAGCTCTGAGCTCTCATTCATAGGTTAAGATGCTTGGGAATTTCTTAACAGCCAAAAAATAAGGGTGGCGTTATCTTTTTTTGACAGGATGACTGCTGCTTGCTCCACCCTAGCCAATGGGACTTGACATTCTGGAAATTATTTAATACCTTTACTCTAACTTGTTCAACAGAATTAAGTCAGTATAATTTACTTATTTTGCCTGACAAATGCATGCTTATTGTACAGTGTTGTGTTATAAGAAAGCATTAAGTAAGTGTGCCATTAAATACAATGACAGATATTTTTCAAAACTAATTAATTCTTGCAGTTATTTTTGTCAACGTTTTAAAGACAGCTGAAGTCCTTACCCAGTCAAGAGTGTGACAGTCACACAAAACACTGGTTTCAGGTTCTGCTGCAGATTTCCTACATTTCAAGTATCAGAGATGTTCAGCAAGATACTTCTGCTTTGGCCCTCGATAAAAGTGAGGTAGAATCCCAGGCCCTAACCTGATCTTCAGTGCAGATTATATTTTACTGTCCTTAGGGAGAGGAGACTGAGGCTAAATGAATTATTTCCAATGTGCAGATCAGATTTCAAACAAGGGTTGAATCTGGGTTGTGTATCCTCTTATGTTTTGATTCAAGATAATCTCTAAATACAAGAAGTATAGTGAAACTATTCAGCAAATTTAATTTCTCTATTAATTTCCTAATTAATGAAGAAATTCATTAGAAACTTGTGCCGCTGTATTTCCTTATTCTTCAACATAAAGATAACAGGAAAATACCTTGAACTCCAGATTTGTGGGATTACATCTTCTGATAGACACTTTACAATACCTAATGCATTGTGGTTTTGCAATAGATAAAGAAAACTGGAAACTTGCATTTTCCTTGTGGATAAGTTTATTTAAACATTTGTAAATCATACTAAGTAAACAGTACATTATTTATTTCTGTGTGCATGCAGTTGTCAAGGTACACATACAGCATTGTCGAGTCTACTTGTCTAGTAACTAAGAATTTTAAGCAGCATGATGCTGAGGACTTTTCTAGAAACAATGTCTGAGTCTTCTTTGATTGCACTGTGAGGTTTCTTTGGTATACATAATTATAAGTAGTGCTTGTTTTTTATTAAGCTAAAATGTGAAGTTTCAAAGTGTGCCCAATAGAAAGGAATTCTCAAAAGGAAGTATCCATTAAAAAATAGAGAAAGCAATAGTAGGCAGGCTCCTGAGTGATTTTTATGAAAAATCTAGGTTAAAAGCAAGGAAGTCAGAACTTTACTATGTGTAGATACCACTGAAGTAAAAAAAGTACACGAAACATGAGGGGGTTTATCCTTTGTTTTTTAAAAACTCCTGTCATGACCCCTTGAACTTTCGCTAACCTTGGTTAAATTCTTACTTATCTATTTTACAGTTCCAACACTAGCAGATAAAAAGGATGGAGAGCTGTGCTGAACTTGGTCCACAGCCTGAGGCGAAACCTCATTACTATTTAAAAGGATGAGGTAAAAAACTCTTCTTTAAATTGGCTTCACAATCTTCATTGACAAATAGTTCTGTTGGGGAAGGAGGGAAGACACAATAGAGGTTAAAAGATGTACACAAAATACTTCAGTGCAGTTTTTTAAAAGACATTTAAGATATTAAAATGGATCAGAATGTATTCAGGGTATACTAATTTCAGTTAAAGTACAGTAAAAAAGAGTAAGATATTTCAGATTAGTAGTAGTAGACTGAAATCCAGGCTCTAGACTATTAACTATTTTTAATTGTGTAGGTTATCCACACTTCTAAAGCAGTCATTTGCTCCATCTTTAGTTAACAGGTTAGTTTTCACATACATTTTAATTGTTTCTCAATAAATATCAGTTGAAATTTTTTATAGCTATATGGATATAATCCCTATCTCCCTGCTAAAACTGAGTTGATAGAATCTCTTGTCTGAGTAAGGAATGTATCCTGTTGATGACTCGTATATAAGCCAGCTTCATACCACACATGGCTGAAGAACAGTAACACTTAAAAATTCTTACCGGCAATGAATAGAGGAGTACCGCTACGAACAAGAGTAAAATCAGCAAGAAGATAAGGCCTATGAAGAGCCATTTAAACCTGCGCCACACGATAAATTTCATTGTCTTGCAGGGATTTGTAAACCAAAGGAAGGAAGTATCTGGTCGGCTGCATTTTGAAAGAAACAAGTATTACTTATACTATGAAAACAGTGAATACTTAAGTGTGAGACTGTAATACGTAACAACAGTCTGGTTCAGAGGTTGAAGAACACACAGGTATTTTTGTAACATATAACAGCAGTTTCAGTAAATGCGTGCCATTAATACTGAAATCACCTTGCATTTTATCCTAATGCTTGCAAAAGGAAACAGGACTGGCTTTTATAAATGAAGATTTGCAAAGGACAATTGATGTTTAATAGATTCTTTGCTGCATGCGGTTTTTGTCAAGAACATCACAGCAGCTAGATGTTATGTATTTCTCAAGCTAGTGAGGGAAAAATAACTTACTTTGGTAGATCTAGTTTGGGGTTCATGTTGGGTTCATCTCTTCCTTTACCAGCTGGCCTTTCCTCAGCTTCTTTTTCATTGACGACTTCCAATGTCATTTCAACTTTACCCTTCAGAAAACATGTGGCATGAGACAAGCATCTTACTGAAACAGAACTAAGAGCACTTGTTTGCTACTTATATAGCAGAGTCTGGGATCAGCTCATTGTGTGCATCTGTGTGTTTTCAATTTCCTTCTCAAAACACACTTCTGCGCTATGACAATGTCACAACAAAGTATCAGAGAATGACAAATAGAAAAAAAAATCACAGTACATAAAATGGTTCTGCTAATTTGTTTGTAGTTCTGTTTTAAGCTATATACTGGGGTTTTTTCCAATTTAGCAAAACAAAAGCAGTTCTCTTCTTTCAAGAACAACCCAAAGACCGCTTCTTTTCCAAATGACTAAGCATCTCATTTTTTATATTGCTGTGGCTGATAGATGTTTCTGAATATTTTTCCTCCTTTATTAAATTCCAGCAATAATGTTTAAAGATTTGTAGAAAGAAGAAACATACAGACTTGAAAGGCTTAATACTCTGGCAAGTGATAAATATGCATTTATATTCTTCATAGAATAGGTTAAAATGCTTTTGGTCTGCTGATTGCTCTTGTAATCATGAAGCTAGTCTGGGTTCTCAGTATATAAATTATATTTGCTCTGTACAAAAATGCTTTGGATTTTTAAGCTCTTTTCTTTAGTCTTTAATGCATTTAGGATGTCTCATGTTTCTCCTAAGCATTAATGTGATAAATTCATTCACAAAATAACTCTATTGGCTGCTTTGGTGAGATAATATGATGCAACCTGGTACCAGAGTCCTTCAAGTTAAACAGAGTTAAAAACAAAAAAAAATAAATTTAAGTATTGAACTCATACTTTAAAACAAAAAAATGTTGATGGAGCAAAATTCCTGAACTTGTGCATGGAATGTTTTGTTTACTCCTCCTCTGTTTATCCACTGAAAGCTAACAGCTAAGTGGGGGACTCTTTACAGTCTTTCTTACAATTTCAAAAGCAAGGTGAGCATGTTTTAAGTAGTTTTAAGAGAAGCAATAATCATACCGCTAAAATACGGGAGCCATCCTTTTCAACATAACATGGCCACCATCCTTTCATGGATTTCTGTTCGAAGAGAGAGGCAGTCCTGGGAGCCTTCTGAGAACTGTCTGCCTTGTATTCTGGAATCATGTCTATATTGCATTTCTCTGGAACTTTTGCTGGAATGATTGTTTTATGTAAATCAAGTTCCACAAAGCCTAGGAGGTGGGGAAAAAAAAATAAACACTGCATAACACAACCAACTGTACAGCATAGTGGTTCAATATCAACCTTTCCTATCTCTAAACATGTTATACAGGAAAAACAATCAACATATGCATTATATTCTTGTTTGTCCAAGGATATTGTGAGGTGGGGAAGTGGGACACATCAGGCTGTGTTTAAGCCAATCTTGCTGGTGTTGAAAGTGCTGGTAGTGATAAACTGGATTTAGCAAGCTCTCATCCCCCTCTTTGAATGTGAGTGAAATCACTTGACTTACTTATAATAGAGGGTTTTTTTCCCCACACACCTAAATAGAAGACTACATACAGTAATGTAATACTATTGTAATTTCTGATAGTTAAATGCATAATTTAGCTAACTTTAATGATTGTTATAAACCAATCAATTGTTTTCAGATTTTGAGGCCTATGTGATTTGCATGTAAGCTAAAGAGTTTGGAGCTGTCTTAATACAGGGCAAAGAATCTTCTGCAGACCAATATCTCCACAAAAAGTAGGGATTATTAAAGGTGTGAAGCAGAATTAATAATTATGTGAAGTAGATTGCTTAACCTAAATTACAGTGTTATGTCAGTACTCTTAGTTAGAACTGAAGTACTCTTGTTTTAAGTAATCTTACTTAAAGAAAGACGCAAAGTACGTTTTCATGCACATTATAATTTCATGCACTTTGTGATAGGGTTTACCTGAATGAAAAGTATCTTGGTTTACTTGGCCTTTACTGAGTGACTATCCATCCACTCATTCATTCATGAGCGCAAGTAAGCCTGTACTGTGTGGGAAAGCAGGAGTGTATTTGCATGCTCGGTGGTTCACTTTGTAAACACAATCCTTATGCAATAATTTAAAATTGTTCATTTTTATCTCTTACTCTGAGACAACAATAATTCTCTTCTTAGAAGTCTTACCCAGATAATCATCCAAGGAGAACTTGTCGTTATCCCATATTTGAATGATCAGTTTGGGTGGGATTCTGAATTCTGTCTTGTCAAGACTCCAAAAATGTTCCTAAAATTTTAAAAAACAAAACCCAAGCACCTTTTTAAAATTACTTACGAAAATTCAAAGCTGTGGTCTGTCAGTACTTGTGAATTCTGCAGCTGGTGGAAGTATTAAGGATCTAATACTGCCCTTGCTAAGAGGAGACTGCTGTTGTTGCCAGTGTGGTGTTCCTGGCTCAAAGTCAAAATTGAATCTGTTCACAATAGCAGTTTGAAAAAAGCATGCAGAACAGAGCCAAACTGTCTCTTTCAATATGTAGGTACAAAATTATCAGACTAATTACAGTCTGTATTCTAAGTATTGAAATCTTTAGAAATTCTTACCTTTTTAGAAATGACACAGAGTTGCTCCGCTGGGAGATAGTCAAAAGGAAAAATAAATCTCCAGTTAAAGTTCCCTTCACCATCCAAGGATCGATAGTGAACATCGGTTTTCTGCTTATTTTCTTCATTACCAGGCATCCATCTGAAAAGAGAGAGACAGACAGGTCTGGTGTTCGCAGGGGACTACACTGGTGCTTGTTTGTACTGTACCCATATCATTAAGTGGTTGCAAACAAGCCGTAAGAGTTGCTCACAGAGGAGTGAAGAGTCTTTCACACCCTTTCTCAGTTTGGTTCCAATTTGGCACTGTAAAGAGGACCATATGAACTGAACTTCTGATCTGCTAAGACCAGTACTGTATCAGTGGGGAGTTGTTGGTGGGGTTTTTTAATTTCCTTTTTAGGATAAATTAACTCAATAGCCTAGTAGTGTATTTCCCTGATTTCTATTGAATTTTTTACATTAAGACTAGGAAATGTAAGAAGTAAGAATCCAGGTTATGCAGCACCAAAGCTAAGACACTATCTTTTCAGTTGCTTCCCATCTCAAGAGATGAAGGGATCTTTCACTGTACATTAACTGGTCGTACGTTATCTCATAACACTTTGGTATTTCTCTGGGGTTAGCATTATTTCAGAGGCACTGACTTGGCTGAACCAAATCATCTTTGGTCTACGCATTCCTGGGGCATTCTGAACATCATTCATTTGTAAGTAAGTGTTACGTGACAGGATGCTCCTACCCCTTGACGTAAATGTCACTCATTTCTTCCCCTGTGATGCTCTTTTCATCCAGAATGACATCTTTGGTGTTCCATACAATCACCCGCAAGATATACCTAAGAGAGAAGATGTTTGGGGAAAGAGAATTGAATTGCCTTTGTCAGGGCTGCCAGACGGTGTGTAGTACATATGGATACTCACTTCTTGGCTTTTCGGGGAGTGATGTTGAAGGGAGGGCCTGGAGGTCCTAAGCTTTTAGGGAAAACATCAACCCACATCTGGAGCTTTCCCTGTAGCAGTAGAGAAGATGGATGAGGCATTGTTTGTTGTATAGAAGTTTGACATGGTAATTCCACGGAACTGCTTATTGACATGCTTAGTACTAATTTTAGCCACAGAGCTAAACTCATTAATTCCTAGTGAATTCAATGGAAGTTAGGTGTGTAAATAGTTCTCATTCTGTAGGTCCAAGCTTCTGTTCCCTCAGAGCCAGGCTGTCTCCTTTAATATTGGTAAGGTATTGAACACATGTTCCAGTTTATTTCAGTAACAAAGTAATAAATAAATCTTTCCCAATTTCCACTCTGTCACTGTTTAAGGTGTCATTTGGGGGTCTTAATGGCAAAACATAACTGCATTTTCTTATGTTTCTAGACTAACCTGCTTTAGTTTCTCAGCCAAGTAATATTAATTTGTAGCCCTCTTCCCCCTGTGTGATAGCACTCTGTTGACAACATGATACAAATGCAGGAATCCTCCATTTCTGCATTAAAGAAACCACAAGTAAACAGGTTCATAGTACCTGGGAGATGTTGGGTTGGAAGGTGCTATATAAAGTCCTTGTCTCCACATGTTCAGGTACCAAACCCTGGGTTCTGAGGATATGAAGGGCTAGCCGCTCTTCACCTGGACCAAGATGCTGATGCAAAATTTTGTTAGCTTCTGAAATAAAAGAAATGGAAAAAGAATGGGGGTTCATGACACAGAATTTGAATTTGAACTTTTTAAAAAATTTAGACCCAGATATTTAAAAATTCAGCAGAAAACTGTGCTCAGCATTAAAAAAATGGAAGATTTTTTCTAATTTTCCATAAATTACTGAAAAGTTTTTATTTGTGTCAGTAAGAATTTAAGACAGAAAAATAAAATAAGTGAACAAGCTCACCAGCTTCCTCCAAAGTATAGTCTCGTCCCCCGTAGTTAATCTTTCTACCATTCTCAGAGAGGACAGGAGGAGCATAGCCTTTAAACCTGGCTACATTTTGCAGTAACTGGGTTGGTTTTAGTTGATCACGCCAGGTATTCACACCTGAACTTTTAGGAAAGCAAGAGAAACACATCTTAAAATTATTTACCATTCAGGGTATTTACACATCATGTAAAATGTATTTATTAAACTAATTCAGAAAGGACAGCCTGTAACTGCCTAGACTGAGGCCACTTGAGTTTGATACAGTGACATAATTTTATACAATGTCAATTACCTTCCAAGACAGAGTGCTTTTTTCTTTACATATCAAAATAATTTACGCTAACAGATGCTTTCATATTTATTTCCATGAGTGAGTAGGTCAGAAAATTCTATTAAGTGTGTGTTCTCTTTCTGCTTATTTTCTTCATTACCAGGCATCCATCTGAAAAGAGAGAGACAGACAGGTCTGGTGTTCGCAGGGGACTACACTGGTGCTTGTTTGTACTGTACCCATATCATTAAGTGGTTGCAAACAAGCCGTAAGAGTTGCTCACAGAGGAGTGAAGAGTCTTTCACACCCTTTCTCAGTTTGGTTCCAATTTGGCACTGTAAAGAGGACCATATGAACTGAACTTCTGATCTGCTAAGACCAGTACTGTATCAGTGGGGAGTTGTTGGTGGGGTTTTTTAATTTCCTTTTTAGGATAAATTAACTCAATAGCCTAGTAGTGTATTTCCCTGATTTCTATTGAATTTTTTACATTAAGACTAGGAAATGTAAGAAGTAAGAATCCAGGTTATGCAGCACCAAAGCTAAGACACTATCTTTTCAGTTGCTTCCCATCTCAAGAGATGAAGGGATCTTTCACTGTACATTAACTGGTCGTACGTTATCTCATAACACTTTGGTATTTCTCTGGGGTTAGCATTATTTCAGAGGCACTGACTTGGCTGAACCAAATCATCTTTGGTCTACGCATTCCTGGGGCATTCTGAACATCATTCATTTGTAAGTAAGTGTTACGTGACAGGATGCTCCTACCCCTTGACGTAAATGTCACTCATTTCTTCCCCTGTGATGCTCTTTTCATCCAGAATGACATCTTTGGTGTTCCATACAATCACCCGCAAGATATACCTAAGAGAGAAGATGTTTGGGGAAAGAGAATTGAATTGCCTTTGTCAGGGCTGCCAGACGGTGTGTAGTACATATGGATACTCACTTCTTGGCTTTTCGGGGAGTGATGTTGAAGGGAGGGCCTGGAGGTCCTAAGCTTTTAGGGAAAACATCAACCCACATCTGGAGCTTTCCCTGTAGCAGTAGAGAAGATGGATGAGGCATTGTTTGTTGTATAGAAGTTTGACATGGTAATTCCACGGAACTGCTTATTGACATGCTTAGTACTAATTTTAGCCACAGAGCTAAACTCATTAATTCCTAGTGAATTCAATGGAAGTTAGGTGTGTAAATAGTTCTCATTCTGTAGGTCCAACCTCCTGCTCTGCCATAATATTGGTAAGGTATTGAACACATGTTCCAGTTTATTTCAGTAACAAAGTAATAAATAAATCTTTCCCAATTTCCACTCTGTCACTGTTTAAGGTGTCATTTGGGGGTCTTAATGGCAAAACATAACTGCATTTTCTTATGTTTCTAGACTAACCTGCTTTAGTTTCTCAGCCAAGTAATATTAATTTGTAGCCCTCTTCCCCCTGTGTGATAGCACTCTGTTGACAACATGATACAAATGC